GTCGAAAACCCCCATCGTCGATCGCAGGACCGCGATGGACACGACCCTGTCGGGGCATTGGAAGAGCAACTCATCGGCAGTGTGCCAGAGATGAGGTCAACACGTCCATTCATGAGGGATAAGCGACTGCGAAAGACGCGCGCAACTCCTCGTCCATTGGACTGGGGTACAAGATCATGCAGCTCGTGGTGGACACATGGGATGTACTTCATGACGTGGATCACGCACCATACGTACTGCCGCCGCATGTTCGACCACTTCGGGCTACCGTCACCCGAGCCGATGCTGCCAAACGATTCCATCGACACGGCGGCTGTGGAGACGAGGGGCAGCATGTGGTTCAATAGGCGCGCTGGCACGATTCCCAGCAGACCGCCGTCCGCGTGCATCGAGCGTCCATGTGCGCACTCGATGGAATCTGTCCCATGCATTCGCAGGCAAGGAAACGTTGGTCGTTCTCTGAGCGCGTCGCGTCGAAGGGATGGAGAGCACGACTCGGCACGAGGACATTCGGCCAGATGAAACATTGTGCAGGGACTCCCACGATGCTGATCGTATTTTGCCGTCGTGTTACAAGGTCAAATGGCAAAAGAGCGATCGCGGTCGCAGAGCGTGGTGCATGCCCACGGTTCGACTCTCGATACCATTCTACGTTGCTCATGCGACTTGAGAAAGCTGTGTCAAGTGTGAATGCATGGACGGAAATACGATGGCATTTTACTAAATATTCCGTCACCAGCGCCACGCGGGATGCTCGGAATGGGTGGTGACGAGATCATCTGAATCGAACTTCACATGAACACGTCGTCGTCGACTGTTACAAGGCAGGCCGAAGGAAGTCGTTGCTGAGCTTGTCGAGCAAAAACGACAGGTACGACTCGTCGTCGGTGGAGATGCCGTGCAACGTGCTGTAGAAATAACGTACTGATACAGCCACAAACACGACCAAAAGCGCGTTGGCTCTATCCATCACAATATTCCAGCACATGGATGCGAGCCATGTTGACCAGGAGCTAGTCGCTGCCGATGGAGGGGCAGTCGGGGCACATCCAGCTGTGGACTCGACAATGGCTGCGATGGATGACGATTGTCGTCGGGCAACCACTTGCATCGAACTGTTGGGGCGATACTTGCGGTAGCTGAGATGTCGATCGATAGGAAGTCGCTCCAGAGTGACTAGTGGTGATGATAGTTGCACGGTATCGTCGGGAATGGTAGCAAGAGCGGCATTGGTCAAAGCGGAGCGTGGGGCGTGGCTTGGCGGCCTTGTTGTTCGCGCAGCAGCAGCATGCTGCGATGTGTATGGTACTTGTGGACGGATAGAAGTGAGTGCCAGGATACGTCTGGTGACCCACAATGCGACAAAGACCGCGCAAAGCGCTGCTGCGACGTCCATCGGCAGCGGCGACGTCTTGTCCGCCATGGCGAATGCCACAATGCAAGAAACCATCGCAAGACGGTTTCCATTTTCTTCGGTTGGTACGTTTTGATTGGCTGCTATTGACGACCTTTGATTGGCTCGTTTTCCTTGTGGACGACGTGGGGGTGAATGTAGGGCATGGCACCCTCCGTGGATGCGCCAGCAAAGCCAGAGCCGTTCCCTCTTCGAGCTCGCGACCGTAGCAGTGTGCGCATCGCTGGCCGTCAACCATCAGCACGGGATGTCGGCGATGCTGCCCTCCTTCGGCGTGAAACGGTTTAACACCAGAAATAGGGGCCAATGGCAGACGTGTATTTCGATGCATTTTTACCTGTGACGATCCATCGCGCCCCGACGCTGTACTTGTACTTGAACGATGCCGCCGAAGACGGTGGACGAAGGCGTCGCCAAATTGGAGCGCAAGATCCGAAAACGAGGCTACATGCGAAAGTTCATGCAGGCCTACCGGAACAGAGAACGAAGTGAAGTAGAGGCGCTCAAGCTGCAAGTGGAAGCGCTCGAGCACGAACTGGCCACACGCCTCGTCAAGAGGACACCACCCACCGATCCTGACAACACGCGATGGCCGCTGGCCCTGCCGTGGAAAGAAGTCGCGGCGGCCATGCACGCGATGTGTGAAGATGCTCATTCGAAACAACGAGCGCTGCAGTACAAATCTGAGGAAGCGGAAGCTGTACGACGCGACTTGCAAGAGTGGGTCGCGTCCTTCCACAACCCCACGGTTCGACTCTCGACACCATTCTATGCCTTGCGATTTACGCAATTGTGCTTGCCAGGCGTCGCTGAGCAGTTGGAGCCGCACGTGGAGGGATGTGACGCTCTTGGCGCATCCTCGCTCGCGACAGCTCGGGAAGGAGTGGATCACGCAGCACATGTACCACAACTCATCCCGGATCTTTCGGCAGCAGGAGTGCCCACCCACGCACTACAGCATCATCGACAATAGCTGGGACATTGACTTTTCGTCCGGCGAATGCTATTACATCGTTGAGAGGGGCCACGTCGACTGGAACATGCCGCTCGAGAACGTTCAATCCATGTTTCGGAACCACTTGTGCTCCATGTTTACGCTGGATGCGTTCTGCCCCCTTACTGCCAAAGTACGCTTCCTCCTGGCACAGCGCTGCTGACCATTTCTTTCCCAGACATTGACGGAAGCGACCGGCAACACGGTGCTCCATCGCCTCGTTATGCCAAACGGGGACGACGCTGCCCCCAAGCAGTATGTGAATCTCCTCGGCGCTGAATTCAACGAACCCGACAATCGGACGGTCGTCGTGGTGACACAAATTCAGGATGACGAAGCGGCAACCCGCTACGCATCGTCGCTACCCCAGCGCAGCCGCATGACTTGGTACGCCGCGGTTCTTGAGTGGATGATGCAAGCTTTGTAGGGTCGAGCTGCATGGGGAGGCGCCGAATCGAACCCGGGGACGCTATGTATCGATCGTGTCGCAGCAGTTCACAAAGGCTGGTGGGTTCATCTCGATGGTGGACGAAGCGCGGGCGTGGGGCCACGATTTGACCAAGGTCAACGAGTGGGAACAGGACGACCTGTTCTTGAGGCTTCATCGCATTCGCAACGAGGGCCTCAAGTCGTCCAGACAGCAATGGTACAGTTCGATCATCAACCATGAACTAGCCCACTGCCACGGCATCTGAGGCGCCATCAAGGCAGAGGCCTCGGACGAAGGAAGACTGCCTTCACAGTGAATGAAACCACACACGTTTCCGACGACGAAACCAGCATGGGGATGCAACCGACCGGCCGTCCACG